AACATTTTTATAAACTGTGAAAAAATTTTGAAACGGCGAACATTTTTCGAATTGTGAACAAATTTTGAAACATGAACACATTTCAAATTAGTGAACAAAATTATAATGCTATGAACATTTTTCGAATTGTGAACAAATTTTGAAACCACAATTTGTTTTCTAATTGTGAACAAATTTTAAAACATGAATACATTTCAAATTCATGAACAAAAATTATAAAATTCTGAATATTTTTCGAATCTGCAAATAAATTCTGAAAAGCGTGAACATTTTTGAATTGTGAACAAATTTTAGAACACGAACAAATTTCAAATTCATGAACAAAATTATAAAATTATGAACATGTTTCGTTAAACCATGAACATTATGAAAATAGAAACAAATGAAAAAACAGAAAAATGAAAATGAGAGAAAAAGAAAAGAAAATAGAAAATAGAAAAATAGAATAAAGAAAAAACCTATTCAAGGAATCTTCTACTCCCTCCGTTCCTAAATATTTGTCTTTTTAGACATTTCAAATGACTACTACATACGGATGTATGTAGTCATATTTTAGAATGTAGATTCACCCATTTTGCTACGTATGTAGTCACTTGTTGAAATGCCTAGAAAGACAAGTATTTAGGAACGGAGGGAGTAGAAGTTTCCAAAAACCAGAAAAAAACCAGCTGTTCCCAAAACCGGAGCGTTGGAATGGTTAAACGGGCCGGCCCGGTTGCGTCGCTGCTCGGTCGCTCGCCTGTGCGAAGCGCCCGCAGTTTGACGCAGCGAGCGGCAAATAGTATTTTCCACGTGGTTCTTCTGCTAATCCGCGAGCCTTTGGGCCGTATGACTGTGCTGGGCTGCCATATAACATTCCGCAGTTTGACCCAAAGACGCGAGAGCAGGATAGCGCGTTGCTTCAGAAGAAACGCGTCCTCTCATGTCATTATTTTTGCGGGTGAAAAATAATCTTACATTATGGGACAGAGGGAGTACTTCAGAACGATCCACCTGTTGCACTCCCTTTGTTTCTTTTAGTCTTCATATAGAATTTGTTTGAAGTAGAGTTTGACCAACTTTATAGTGAAAAATATCAACATCCACATTACAAAATGAGTATCATTAGATGCATCATGAAATGAATTTGCATACTTTATAGCTTTCATATTCTAGATGTTGAATTTTTTATTATAAATTTAGTCAAACTTTGCATAGTTTGACTTCAGACAAATCTTATACGCGAAACAAAAAGAAACGGAGGGAGTATCTTATTAAGCCCCTTGGTTTAACCTTGCCACATGTTGAATGAATTTCGCATGCAGAATATTGTCTGGCCAGGGGCAGAGTCAGAAATTTTAGCCATTGGGTTTATGCATTGTCTCATTAGGACGATTTGGTACGAAAATAAATAAGTGATACATCTTCTTAGGATAAAAGTATAGCGCTCAAAAACAACATAATGAATGAAAATATGATATCACCTGTCACATATTGTATTAACATTAAAAACTGAAGAAGGTGGAATATACTGGTTTATAAACTTAGGCAGTGGCCTTAAAGTCCTCTGATTACATATCTTCGCATAATCTCATCTTGCTTTTTAGGATTTTTTTTAGACTCTGAAATTCTCTTCCGAACCGATCATCATGTTGATCTGGTCATCAATTTCTTTTGGGAAATTAAATACCTTTGCATGGCCTACATAAATCAAAGTGCATGGGATAAGCAGTTAGAAATCTAGGGAAAATACAACATACACATGAGGGAGGTTATTTACATTGAATTGGGGTTATAATTGTTGGCTTGTCGCTCAACAGGGTGCTGTGGCAGATTAATGGCTGAATGTAGAATGCAGAACCTGCGAATAGGAGAGAGATCACCCAAGTTTTGTTAGGAAGCTAACAAGAAATCGGCTGCTGCCAAGTATCATAGTGATGGCACGGAGAAATGATGCACTAACAGGGAGCCCCTATGTCTCGCTATAGCGAGACGCAGGGAAGCCTCGCGTGAAGGGGAGAGCGAGATCGGCCAGCCCAGGCGCGTTGGAGGCCACAACCTTGTTTTTTTCTCATTTTTAGTTTTGCTTACACTTCCAAATATTATAAAGAAATATAAATATACAAAAACTCTTTATATAAAATATTTAAATATATATATTAACCAACCGTTTGAAAAATGTTAGATGTGTATAGAGAAAATGTTTCTCTTGTATACTAAAAATATACAATCTATGTATATAAAAATATTAATCAAACATTTGCAAAAATGTTAAACATGTATTTCAAAAAAATTAATCAAACATTTGAAAAAAATGTTAAATGTGTATAAAATAATGTTAATCTTGTATTTGAAAAAATGTTAATCAAGCACTTAGAAAATGTTAAATGTGTGTAGAAAAAATGTTGACTATGTATTCAAAAATAATTAATTTTGTATTTGAAAATTTTCAATCAAGCATTTGAAAATATTAAATGTCTATAGAAAAAATGTTGAACATGTATTAAAAAATGATAATCTTGTATGTTAAAGATGTTAAACATGTATTAGAAAAATGCATTAGATATATAGAAAAATGTACAATGTGTATGGAAAATGTAGACATCAAAAAATAATTTCTCAAAACAATGTTAATCATGTATTTCAAAATGTTAAAATGTGTATATAAAAATATTTCAGATGTATAAGAAAAATGTTAAATTTGTATTGAAGAAAAGCGAGAATGTGTTGAACAACAATGAAACCAATAAAAATGACAAAAAATGAAGAAACACATTAAAAAGAAAAAAGAAAAGGAAAGAAAATGGAAAACCCGATGAAACCAATTCAAAAGATACCCTTGAGTTGTGAGCATGTTTCCCAAATCTATGGGCATCAAGCCAGGGGGAACCTCACCAAATAGACACCCTTGAGTTGTGAGCATGTTAAAGTTGTGAAAAGTAACCGAGCAACTTTTCTAGTCTCCTTATAGGGAGCCGGAGGGGCGAAGCGATGATCTGAGAAGATTCTCCATTGAGACTAAAGTTCTGGGTGCGACAATAGAAGGGGAGATTGCGCAAAGACGAAAGAGAAGGAAAGGAGATGGGAAAGAATTTGTCACCTCAACTTTATAGGTGTGATGTTTAGACGTACCATGATGATACATTTAGAGTCCTTAGGGATTACTCCGCATGTTTCCTAGGCGTCGTGCCTTGTGTGTGTGCATGGATCGAGGGAAAGAAAATAAAATACCCTTAAAAGTGGCTCTCAGGGCCCACTTTGACTCCCCTTACTAGGAATATCGAGGTGTGGGACCATGAAATTGCCGGAGCCACCAAGGGTCCTCGAGAGTATACTTGGCCTATAGGGAATTGACTTCGATGTAAGAGACTACGGACTTGAAGCCCCCCATCAGGGGTCTTCGGATCCAATAAAAATACACTATTTTCAAAGGGAGCCTTGTTAAAAGACGTCCCAATTACCTAGAGTATATCATTGCTCGGGGGTCAACAATGAAACGTTAATAAGAGCTTGAAATCCCGAGGAGTCCTCGGATGTGAAGCCAATTTGGAAGATCGAACTTGCATATGAAGCCAAAGACCAGAAGAAAAAGTTATCCTGAGGAGTTATTCACGATGATCGGCTTAAAGATTAATTCAGGAGCTACTGGAGGTGTCCAGGATTAGGGGTACTCACCTTGTCGGCATATCACTCATGGGTCGGGCCGAAGACCACCGACAACCAAAGAATGAGCCACGTAAGCTATGGCCCTCGGCGTACTCAAGATGGAATCCTCCTAAGACTTGGCGTATACTTCAAGGCATATTTATCTCCAGATGCAATCGACCATGTGTAACCCTAGGTACTCCTCGGCCCCTATATAAGACAATGGTTTAGCTCTATAGAGGCAGGTTAGATCTATTCATATGATCTTGAGGTTGGTCATCTTGTACTTTGTACCCTATCCAGAATCAATACAATACAACCAAGACGTAGAGTTTTACCTCTTCAAGAGGGCCCGAACTTGAGGTAAATATTATGTCTCTCTACTTCATGTTTCCATCAACCTGAGACAACCAGCTCGGGACCTCCTATATGAGATCTGCTGGATTTAGCTCCAACACCTGGTGCAGAGCGACCGAAGAAAACCCCCGAATGGTGGTAAAAATGGCCACCTAGGGCTCACCAGATGCGCCTCCCGCAACCGCCGCCGAAGAAGATGCCCTCCGGCCCCCATCGTCTGAACCGCCGAAAGCAGTCGGTGGCTCACCGCGGACTGCATCGTTTGCTAGAAGCAGAACGACGACGACGACCGGCTGTGGCCGAAAGGTCGCCACTAGACCCACCAGTCGTGGGTCGACACGAAGCAGGGGGAGGGGGGAGGGCAAGGAGGAAGGTTCGGCGGTGAGAGAGAGTGAAGAGTGTGGTGTGAATATGAGGGTGGCGGTGAGGGGAAAGAACAACAGGGATTACGAAGCGCCACACCGGTCTCCTGCGCTTCCCCGGGCGTGTAGGCGGCCGCCACGCGTGGCTCACCTGGGCCTGGCTCGGGGAAAACGGCTGATTCGGGAGTTCCCACTCAGCCTGGTCCGAGACTGCTTTGGGGTTCGTGCGGGCTAGTATTTGCATGGAGCCTAGCCTACCAAACCGGCTGATTTTGCATCCAACAGACATGTATGGGCTAGATGCATAGTTCATATTTGGTATTGTAGATATAAATAATATTCTCTATAAATTTGGTCAAAGTTTATAAAATTTGATTTTTCAAAAAATCTATACACACTATATTATGAAACGGAGGGAGTGTAAAAAACAAAAAACAAAATCTAAAAAAATATGGAGGTGGCACACCCTATGAAATATCCCTGGCCCCAACAATGATATTATAGATCATATATGAATGAATGTGAATATGTGAACAAGCGAGCGTGCATTTACATCATCCAAAGTGAAAGTATTATTTACAAATATTTGAATAAAGTGAAATTTATCGAAACAATATCATGGTCTTGCAGTAATAATCCACTGTGTGATTTCTTTCCTCAGCAACCTCCACCGCCTCCTCCACCTCCACAGCCACCACCTCCTCCCCCTCCGCCGCCACAGCCACCACCGCCTGTGCTAACACCGCTGTCTCCAACATAGACGCCTGCGCCTGCGCCCGCTCCAGCTGCCCAGTAGGAGCCGCCATGACCACGTCGAGGCTTCTTCCCGCCGGAGCTCTTGTGGCCGGCGCAGCCGAACACGGCGACGGCCACGATCGCAACCGCAGCCACGAAGGCGAAAGCTAGACACACGACGCCGCTGGGCGTGAAGTGCATGGAACCGGCGGTGAAGCCTTTTGCCGCGGCAATACCCATCGCCCTGACCATCTTTGCTGCCGCTGCTCGATCGAGAGCTTCTCCTCTTGATCAGTTGTTTGTGGAATGCCGGTCGACCAGTACTTAAAGTCTTTGCCCGGAGAAAATGTCAGCGGTCTTACGCGGTTGCTCTGTCCTGCACTCCACTGCTACCGTGTGTTGTCAACGTAGTAGTTCCATCGTGATTCTCATCTTGATTGTCTGTCGTTGGGGTTGGCGACGACGGGGAGTACTTAATTAAAGGAGGTGCCCATAGAAATGGCAGCTGACTTGTTCAATTACTACTAGTACAATACTATCCATCGTGTTGTGTATCGGCCGAGTATAGACGACGTTGCGCATCTTTGAAATTGGAACTTTCCTTGGACGCGTGTGCCAAGCTAATTGGCGCTGATCGTGAATTCTCGTCAAGTCGTCCGACGCGTCTGGGCGAGGGCCTCGGAGTTGAAACGTCATGTCAGCACCCACCACCGTCAATCTTTTTTGAAAGAACACCACCGTCAATCTCGTGGAACATCTCGTTCAGTTTCAAACATTTCTTCTTTCTGGTAATTTCGTACCGACATGCATGGTAGGATAGGTTCGTGGAAATTTGTTCTAGACAGGGCGTATATGCACGCCGTTGCCTCTGACTTTATCCAGTTGCTTCGTTTGGACGGAAGGAAGACGTTGTACTCTTTTTTTTGGGATCGACATCGTACTCAAATATTCATGCAACACGGCTGGGCCTCGAGGCGGCCTCGCCATTGGGCCTACTGGGCACTCGACACCAAGTTCGGCCTCTCGCTAGTGAGCACTTGACACCAAACCTCAATCACTTCTCTCTTTCACCAAAAGGTTCATTGGAGAGCTGGAAAGTATTAAAGAAAGCAAACCAGCTCGGATCTCAAGGGTAGACGGGGGCATACACAGAAGAACTCGCCCAAGAGCCCCTCTGGCAAACCATGCTAAACTTCATGTGGACGCTGACGTGAAACCAGGACGGGGCGGTTCTGCGGCGGTGGTGTGCAGGGATGCCGACGGGAACTATTTGGGTAGTACTGATTTGGTGGTGGAAGGAGTGGATGACCCAATGGCCTTGGAGGCGCTGGCATGTAGGGAGGCACTCTGTGCAGCCGAGGACCTCCTTTTGCAGCATTTTGTGGTAGCGTCAAATGCAAAACAAGTAGTGCGAGACATTGCTCAAGGCTCTCTAGGCAAACACAGTGTAATTATCAGCGAGATCAAAGCTCGTTCTACCGCTTTTTCTTGTAGTTTCATTTTGAAGGTCGAGATAGTAACATAGAAGCGCATAGCTTAGCTAGATATGCTCTTAATCTAGCCTCAGGGTGTCATGTGTGGTTTGGCCAACCATATAATGTAAGCATTACTATTTGTGGAATTCGATCAATAAAGAACAGACTTTCCCCTAAAAAAACCAAACCAAATTGGCTTGTACCGACGTCAAATTCATGGGACCGATGGGTCAGGTCGGCATGAACTAACATACCTCATCGTTTATGTGTACCCCAGTCCCGTAGGAAAACATACATCACGCCCGATGGATTCAAGGGACACATCTATAAGTCGCTTGTTGTGAGTTCTATTCGCACGCTGCCTAACGACTTGTACACATGCCATGCTAAATTGGCAAACCCAGCCACTAAAAAGCATCTAGGAAGGGAACCAGTGTAGTGATCCTAACTTAGCTTCTACGGACCACTAGTTAATTGTAGTGGTTTTACATTAATCGTGTCCGACATATACCTTACACGTGCTAAATTTGATTTAATGTTTTGTATGGGTAAATGAAGGAAATGGAATTTTTGGTTTAGTTGAGATTTTGATAAGATTTGATTTAACTTAGGTATCGGTAGGGGTAGACAAAGAAAATTTGATTAGTTGAGGTTTTGGTATGATTTGATTGAGTTAATAAAAGACATGATTTGGGTAAATTTTGGTTGAGTTAAAACAAGAAAATGTTTGCAGTAGGACAAAAAAATTACTGATTTGGTTTAGATTATCCTAGAAGGGGAGGGAATGAGGAGAGGAGGTGAGACGAACGTACCAACTCCTTTTAATAGTAGAGACCTTAACGAATTATTTGGGCTTCAGGTTTTCACTAGTTTAGATAGGGTTCATGACTTTGTCAAAAAATATTTATACGCTTAGAAATTGGTCATATCATCAAAAAATGTTCAAGAGTTTTAAAGATTGTTCTTGAAATATTGAAAAAAAGTTCACACCGTTCAAACAATGCTCCTGATGTTCAAGAAATGTTCACACATTTACACGTTTACAAACTTATACATGTTCATGAATGTAACACAATTGTTGTAGCAATTTAAAATAAATATTTGTACTATTCAAAATATACTCATGGCATTTAAAAAATGTATATGTGTAAGAACAACCATTCATGAAATGTAAAAAATGGAACGTGCAATTACAAAAAATATTCATACCTTTCAAAAAAGACTAATGACATTTTATAGAAATGTTCATGCGTATGAAGATATGGTCATGAATTATTTTAAAGATGTCCATGGAATGTAAAATTTTGTTCGCACATTTTTACAAAAAAATTGTTCTGTTCAAAAAATATGTCCATATTTACAAAAATATACATGACATATAAAGAAATCATTACTATTTAAAAATTGTTCAAAATACTTAAAAATTGTTCAGGTGTTTAAAATAAGGGTTTTTATCATTTTTGCCACTAGTTGTGTCCCACTACTCAGTTTTGCCATTAGAAGTTACAACTACTCAAAAATGCCATCGATCCGTGAGATGTTTGCTCAAAAATGCCATCGTTTCGTTAGATGTTTCCTCAAAAATGCCATTAGACATCGTTATTTTCACATCAAACACATTGACCATGTTATATGACAAAAACAAGCCTAGACCCACATGTCAGTTCTCTCTATCTCACAATGATAAGTGTGGCCCCACTTGTCAGGAGTAACCAAGCGAATAATTTTATAGAAAAATAAGAACGTCGTTGGGATCAAGTGGGCCCCACACTTTATTGTAGTAAGATAGAAGGAGAGCTGGCATGCTGGTTCATAGGTATTTATGTCATTATAACATGGCAAAAGAGATTTAAGATCACAATAATGGTACCTAGTGGCATTTTTGAACACATGTCTAACAAAGCGATGGCATTTTTGAGCAGTTGAAATTATTAGTGGCAAAACTGAGTAGTGGGACACAACCGATGGCATAAATGATAAAAACCCTTAAAATAATGTCGTGGTAATGTAAACATGTTCAAACATTCATTAATAAAATGTTCAATGTGTACTTAAAAATACAAGGTGTGTATGGAAAATGTTTAGCGTGAACTCAAAAAATGTTCAATGTGTATTTAAAACATGTTCCTAAGAAAAAAATGTTCATGACATATAAAAAATGCTTGAACACTAGGACAAACTAATAAAAAATGCGTGAATCCGTGATTCTTTTTTAGAAAGGTATAAAGGAGGAAATAAAAAACGAAAAGAAAAGTAGAAAATGGACAAGGAACCAGAGAGAAGAAAAAAGAAATAAAAAAGAATGGAAAAAGTAAAGTAAAAGTACAAGAAAATGAAAAAATAACAAGGAAATTGATCAAAAAAGAGAAGAAAAGCAGATAACCAGAAATGAACAACAGGGAAGGAAAAAAGACCCAAAATCTTCCTCAAACAAGAGTAGAAGGTTCCTGAAACCACCGGTATAGAAGGAATGAAATCGAGATAAGCCAACAAGAAAAAGGCTGGCCCAAAACGATGCACCAACGGAAACACGTAAGGCGAGGTGGTGCTCTATTTCATAGTAAGTGAGATATAGCATCTACACACACGAGAGGCGATGGGATCCAGATCTGGAGACACTGGGCCTAGGTCAGCATCCCAACGACTATTTTATTTTTGGTTGGAACTGCCAGGCATGGTAAACCTTAGGCTTATTAGGTTCATAGAAAACCTTAGGCTTATTTAATTGCAAGAATTTCATAAGAATTTTCGAGGATTTCAGTCCATAAGAAACTTTCCTATGAAACTTATTTGGATCATATGAATGGCTTTATTAAATTTCTATGAGATACATTCTTATACCATTTTTGGCGGGTGATTCTTATACCTTCCATTTTATAGGAGTCCTAAAACGACCTCAAACCTCATTTTGTTTTTCCATGGAGAAGTCCAATGCACTTGAATTCTATCTCGGTTTAGTCCTCTATAATTTCAAAATCTTATAAAATTATAATACATGCATCTTAACCATTGTTCTTTTTTTCTATTCCTATGTTTTCAAATTCTTGCAATCCAAAGATGAATCATCTGCCAGTTGGCAGGGAAGCTAAGCTTCATCTTGCATCTGCTAGATGACATATAAATAAATCATACTCCCTCCGTAAACTAATATAAGAGCATTTAGAATACTAAAGTAGTGATCTAAACACTCTTATATTAGTTTATAGAGGAAGTACTATTTAAAAATTGTTCAAAAGGCATAAAAAATGTTCAGGTGTTTAAAATTTTGTGATAACATAAACATGTTCAAACATTCATTAATAAAATGTTGAATGTGTACTTCAAAAATAAAAGGCGTGTATGGAAAATGTTTAGCATGAATTCAAGAAATGTTCAATGTGTATTTAAATCATGTTCACAAACCAAAAATGTTTGTGAAATGCAAAAAAAAATCACTATTTTGTTCACGAATGTTCATGACATATAAAAAAGAATGCTTGTACACTAAGACAAACTAATAAAAAAATATGTGAATATATGATTTTCATAAAAATAAAGATATAAATAAAGCAGAAAATAAAAAACAAAAAGAAACATAGAAAACCGACAGAAACCGCAGAGAAGAAAAAAAATAAAAATGAAAGTAAAAGTACAAGAAAATGAAAGAAACCCAAACAAGGAAAATGTTGGGAAACGCAGTAATTTCAAAATTTTCCTACGCACACGCAAGATCTATCATGGTGATGCATAGCAACGAGAGGGGAAGAGTGTTGTCCACGTACCCTCGTAGACCATAAG